TGCTTTGAACTTCATTGTAACGTGCTACAAAAATGTTTGATCAGTTTCTCAGGAGAATAAGTAATAATGAGGCACTAATTGTTTTACAATCAGCCTAAGCATACACAAAACTCTTAATGAATATTTAACCAGCACTTACATTTTCACACTGCATCTTTCTGGGTTTTATGTGAGAAACATTGAGTCCATCAATAACAATATCAAACGGAAGTCGATTTTCCACAAACGTTTGAAAGGCTTCAAATTCCTGAAATAAATAAATAAACAAACAGTGGGGGAGAATATGTTGAGTTTAACAGAAACAGATTTAATTCAGTTTTTATTTAAAAAAAAAGAAACAAAGCCTATACTTCCCACTTTTCCTTCTTTGGCTACATTTCACATCTTCACTTGCATATTTGCTAAAACAACCACCAAAAATAAAAATAAAAAAATCTTTAAAAAGTTTAAAGTGCTACAGTGGATACTTCCAATATAATTTCAAATTACATAACAACTGAAAAGCAAAACTTTGCAGTCACCCAGATTTTCAATATTATAATCAAAAAGATACATGCTGTAGTTGTTACACAACAGCTGCAAGACAAAGCAACTCTGTGTACCATTCGACTGTGACACTATCACTAACTGTTAATATTTCCAATGTAAAATAAGCATTACATTTAGCTTCTCTGTAAGAATTCTGAAATCTCTGAATGTCAGTCTTTGGATAAGAGACCTATGTTTAAATAAACATTTAGAAACACAGCAGTCCACTTGTGAGAAATACACAGCTTTAAAGCTAGCAAAACAATTAACTTAGTAGGTCAGAAATGCAGCGATTGAGCAAACCAGCAGCATCCATCCGGTTTTTCCAGCAGAAGGAAAACCCCAATTGCTTTAGGCTTGAGAGAGACCTCATAAGAGGAGAACAGAATACAAAGCAATAATAAAATCTTCAGGAATTCTTCCCTTGATTTTTGAGGAAAGATTTAGTACTTTTAGCAGACACTTCCTGCTTCTGACTCTTTTTAATAGTCACAGGAACTCTAATCCATCCTGGTGGGCAGTGACCTGGTTTCATAAATGACCTTTCTAGTAACACATAAGACTTATTCATTGGGTAATAGAGGTTTCACAGTCCAAGGCTACAAATTAACGCTCACAGGAACTCAAAACAATTGCAAATTCTGCTCAAAATTCAAAAAGCACTTTCCTAATCTTGCCCTCTCCCATGTAGCTATAAAACAATATATAAGTCTAAGGGAAAAACACCCTCTCAGCATCCAAACAAAAACCTGTACAGCATATCCAATCCTTCCTCGGAGAAAGGAATGAGAAAAAGAATTTATTTGTCCAGAAAATACACTGCTGTCAGGCAGTAACAAACGATCATCAACTTCAAATTCAGTTAGAATGCTTATGACAAATTATACTAGGAAAAGGGTTACTTGTATTAAGAGTACAAACCAGCTAAGTGAGATGAGGATGCCTCGCTCAGATGTTAAAATTTCAGGCATATTTCCAAGTGGACAGAGGTACCAGTCAGAACCACACAGATGGTAACACAGACAACACAGCAGGCTCAGTCTAGCAGCACCAGAACCAATTGCTTTTATGTGTTCTTTCATTTCTCCATTGCCTAAATAAATGTTTCTATTAAGAAAGTATAAAAAGCTGGGCAAGAAAAGGATCACCTCAAACAAAAAGACATTGCTGGCACTTGTGAAGTGTTTCCCCCTGCCTGCCAGCAGCAGTCTCCACATATTTTATATAGATGAATAAATATTCTCATTGCCATCTGACAGGGCCACCAAGACACAGAAAGGAAGTCACTAGCAAAGGTGGTGGCAGGGAGTGGGAGGAGAAACAAATGCAAAACTAAACAACAAGAATTCCTGCATTCTGGGTTTATGCTGTCCAATGGACTTCCCCAGGCTTCAAAATCAGTTGAGTCATCACTTTAATACTGGATGGCTGCCTGAAATGTGGAAAAGATAAAAAGAAGGAAAACACACACAGACCAAATGAAGGTAAAATAGGAGAGTTCTGAGACAAAGTTAAGTGAAAATGGAAAATATGAAAGAGGAAGCAGATGAAAACACCTGGTAAACAATTCAATAGTGTGTTATTTTCCTAATACCAACAAATGCCAACATTATTTGAAGTAACAGTCAAGTGGACATTTTTATAAGGTATCGTGTACATGTAACCTTTTCTTCAAGGGCTCAGTTCAATACAGAACAAACACTCTGTGGAGGATTTTTGAAGTGGTATTTTATTTCAAGTGACAATTGTTGCAGAGCAGTCGCTGAAGGGATGGGTTTTCCCTGATGCCAGAGTAGAGCGCTCTGCCAAGGGAACAGCACAGCACGAGTTGGGGGAGCAGCAGAGGGGTCTGGTGGGTCAGTGCTCCCCGCTGCCCACCCTTTGCTTGGCTCACTGTCCTCTCCCAGCAGGGCAGATGCAGCAGGAGCTGCCAGGAGGCTCCTGCTGATAGGCACCAGGGTAGGCTCAGCACCTCTCAGAAGCCTCTCCTGGCCCTCTGGGGTTTACTTCTGGAGCTGTAGAGAAGCTGCAGCCTTTTCAGTATCATTCCCTTGGCCATCCCACCTTTCCCAGCCATCTCCTCCTGACCACATGCTCCATTCTCAAGAGGTGCCTGACAACATGCCCCTGCCAGACTCCCAGATCTACTCCACTGTTCTGCCTCACTGCCAGCAAACTGTGCAATACAGTAGGGAGAGAAGGTCTGCTCCAACAGGAGACTTATCCACACAGGGAGTTGAGGAGTTAATAGCACAGTAAGTGCAGAAGACAAATGGCTGAGTTTAATTTATGTCACCAAATACAGAAGACTCCAGTGAAAAGCCTTAGACAGACTAAAAATCCCCAAGGATCTGTTCATTTTCTCCTCGCCATCTACATTTCCCCAGCAACAAGAAAAAAAAAAAAGAGTGGTCCTTTCATTTTCCAGGAAAAAAATACATAAAGAACCACAGAGAAGATCCAGTCTGCTCCCCTGAGGGACAGTTTTTGAGTCGCCATATTTCCCATCCTCTCTGGACACAGGGAAGGAACAGGGCTAAGCCCAGGAATAAGTAGCAGGCTACGTCATCCAGATGCAGTACAAAAGGTTATTCAAACATACACAGACTTACACTGTAAGACAGAAAGTAATACAATTTGAAGGATGCTCATTTTTGAAAGATCAAGATTTGTCTGAATTTTACGCAGATCCTACTTACAGCCACAGTAATAAATGATTCACCCACAATTCTCTAAAGATATTTCCTTCACTAGCCAACTGTAAGAAGAAATCTAAGATCTTCTGTATAAGCAGCAAATGAAGTAGAGCACAGCTGCAGCTAGGACACAGCTGATCAAGAGGATCACAGACACAATAATCATCAGCGCAGCACAATGACGATATGAAGGTTGGTTTAGGCTGTTCACGCAAGCTTCCCCTTCCAAACGGAGGATGCAACGTGTGACCTGCGTACAGCCTGCGTACGCCACAGGAACGTTTACGTGGAAACTT